GAGGGAGAGCCTTGGCTGCAGGAGCGGGAGGCATGGTCACAGGAGATTCGGTGTTAGCCACAGGAGGTAGAGCCTTGACTGCCGGAGCGGGAGGCTTGACGACAGGAGGTAGAGCCTTGACTGCCGGAGCGGGAGGCTTGACCAGAGGAGGGAGAGCTTTGGCTGCAGGGGCGGGAGGCTTGGTCACAGGAGATCCGGCTTTAACCACAGGAGCGGGATGCTTGGTCACAGGGGGGACAGCCTTGGTTGCAGGAGCGGGAGGCTTGTTTGTATAAGCGGGAGGCTCCGCGGCAATGGGTGCTTCTTTAATCTCAGGAGAGAGACCCATGACCGGCGGAGCGGGCAGCTCGGTCATAGGAGGGGCGGCCCTGTTCTTGGGAGAGACAGCTTTGGGCGCAGGAGGGAGAAGCTTGGCTGCAGGGTCGGGAGGTGCAGGGTCGGGAGTTTTCGCAGTCGTGGTGATGACAGCCGAGAAAAGTTTAACCGCCGACTTAGTTAACCTTTGCATCGCTGACATCGTTTCATCCGTGTGTTGTGCGTCTGCAGACTGGAACGCCACTTCGGTATCAACCGCCGATTCGGTTCCGGTTTCGGGCGAGATAACAGGGGGCCTCGCAACCGGGGGCTTCGCAACCGGGGGCTTCGCAACCGGGGGCTTCGCAACCGGGGGCCTCGCAACCGGGGGCTTCGCAACCGGGGGCTCAGCAACCGGGGGGTTCGCAACCGGGGGCTTCGCAACCGGGGGCTTCGCAACCAGGGGCTTCGCAACCGGGGGCTCAGCAACCAGGGGGTTCGCAACCGGGGGCTTCGCTACCAGGGGCTTCGCAACCAGGGGCTTCGCAACCAGGGGCTTCGCAACCAGGGGCTTCGCAGCCGGGGGCTTGACCACGGTAGATGGGGCAGTCGGGGGCTCGACCACGGTAGATGGGGCAGCCGAAGGCTTCACCATGGTAGATGGGGCAGCCGAGGGCTCGACCACGGTAGATCGGGGAGCCGAAGGCTTCACCACGGTAGATGGGGCAGCCGAGGGCTTCACCACGGAGGGCTTGACCACGGCTGACGGCGCTGGTGCTGACGGTGCTGGTGTTGATTGGGTCGCAGGCATTTGGGCCGGATGCATTTGGGTCGTGCTCTTGGGAGCTGCCGAATTGCTCTCGAGGAATGGACCTGAAATAGCGGGAGTGCCCAGTGATGGCTCTGTCGCAGCTAGTTTCGCCCCAGGTGGTTTGGCCATAGGCGTCTTGGTCACATCCGTCTTCGCCTCCGGTGGCTTGGCCACAGCCGGCTTGGCCTCCTGCGGTGGCTTGGCCCCAGGTGATTCGGCCATTGAGGATTTGGTCATTGGCGGCTTGGCCAGTGGCGATCCGGCGTCGGTAGTTTTTGCGATGGGAGCTGAAGGCGTGGATTGGATCGGCGTTGCTGAGGCGGGCATTGGGAGTTTGGTCGAGGTTTGTTTATGGGAGTGGGCGGGAGCCTCCTGGACGGGGTGGGCAGCAGCCTGTAGAGAGGCGTCTACGATGTGGCACACACTGCGTATATAGGTAGTGAGTTCTTCCTTTGGGTCTTTGCATGTGTACATGGTGATGTCTTTGACCGTGCGGGCGATTTCGTTGTGGCCAGGGTACTTCATGACGGAGTCGAGTAGTTGGTTCCTGAGGGCCTGTTCAGAGAGCTTGATGCATTGTAGGAGTTCCGCATTCTCGCAAGCCAGATGGACCGTGCTGTCCCCATCCGTCTTGGGGGGTGGCGACCGTGTCTGACTGTCTTCCTCGTTTTCTAGCGTGGCCCGCGGAGCAGTCATCGACAGGGCGACTGACTGGAGCGGAAGACATTCCAGTGGAGCACTCCAGTCAGTAAAGAACCGCTGAAGTTTCCGCGTTCGGACAGGCTTGGACAGTGCTTGTGCTCTAGCCACGCGCTCTCTCAGTTGGTCACACATCTCATTCCTCTGGTCCAACAAAACCGTAGATTCCTCCAAGGCCTCCTGTAGCTGCTTCCGCTGTGATTTCAACTCATGGTTTAATCTTTGACTGATATCCTACAAAATGATTTCGTTCACAGGAATGGAAACACCGCCCGGTTTGCCAGACAACGTCCGGTTTGAGCGAGCCCGAATTCAGTCCAACGACACGAGGCTTGAGGCCAGGTCAAGTACTGGGTGGCGTCCCAAGTTGAGACGAGTTGCGGTCGTAGACGGGGGAAATTGAGGTTCGTTCGAGTGGGCTGGCTGGAGCAAGTCGGTTTTTGGAAGGGGAGGGAGGATGGGGAGGAGGAGGAGGAGTACGAGTTTTTGTTGTAAACACTCCAAGGTTCTATTCAGGTCGCCGAGATCATGGGGCGGACAGCGGTGGGTCGGCACAGAAGGGGATTCAAAAACAAGACAGTGGTGGCGGTTCCGTTGATTCTCAGTAGCCAGCTGGAGGAAAAGGCGACGCAAGACGTCAACTGGGGGTGGAGGCACAGACCGGTCCAGCAGTTTGCGACCGACAGCTTCCTCCCAGCCCTCTGCAGCATCCCACTGGGACGCTTTCGTCCAGCCCGCCGGAGTCATCTATTGGTGCAAATTTACAGGGGTCGAAATTCATGGCTGAGCACCTCGCGCGAATCATCGGAACAGAAGAGGACAGGTAACTATTCCACGGTTGGTTATTACCGTCGGTTGGCTGGCTGGTTATTACCGTCGGTTGGCTGGTTGGTGATTACCGTCGGTTGGCTGGTTGGTGATTACCGTCGGTTGGTTACTGCATAGCCTTACGCAGGTAATGCTGGTGTACCAATAGTGTGCGGGCGCTGGGGTGGTACGTGTTTATTGTGGTGGTACGTGCTTATAGGATCAACTGCCCCTTTTACTGGAAAATCGGCGCCTGTCGGCATGGGGACCAGTGTAGTCGAACACATTACAAGCCGACTGCGAGTCAGACCTTAATTTTGCGGCACATGTATGAGAATCCGCCAAGTGCGTTGGCTATTTCGGAAGGGCAGGATGTGGATGATGATGCGGCAGACGAAGCGCAAGACCATTTCGAGGCGTTTTACTTCGAGGTGTGGACGGAGCTGGCTCAGTATGGTGAGTTGGAAGACATAATAGTATGCGATAATATCGGCGATCACATGATAGGGAATTTGTATGTAAAATTCACGACGGAAGAATATGCGGACAATTGCCTCAAGAGATTGCGAGGTCGGTCCTACGCGGAAAAGTTAATAGAGGTGGAATTCTCTCCCGTCACGGATTTCCGGGAGTCTCGTTGTCGACAATTTGTGGAAGGCTGTTGCACACGGGGAGGCTATTGTAATTTCATGCACCTCAAACATGTTCCCAGGTCGCTCCGCCGGAAACTACTTAAAACCATGTACGATGAACACGCAGACTACAACATAAACAGAGACAAAGACTGGAACATCTCCACCAGCCGACCTCCTCTATCACAACTAGGTGGGAACGGTGGCGCCGCAGGAGGAGCAGGCGGAGGAGGAGATTACTATCGGAGGGGCTACGACCGAAGGAAAAGGGATTACTACTCCTCTAGATCCTACCGAGACGATCACAGAGACTACAGAGAAAGAGATTACAGAGACAGAGACTACGGTCAGGATAATGGACAGTGGTGATTCCACTCACTACGGGCGGGCAATCGTCTCTAATTACCGCGACTTCGAATGGCAGTGACCTATTACACGAGTGAGCGAGCTCCGGCTCAATTCGTACTGAGTATTTTTTCCCATTTAATTCATGACGCCCCAATAAGCGCCGGATCGAGCGACGATAGTACAAATGACCTACCCGATTACATGTCATACAATTCAGCTGCCTTTCCCGCAGCTTTGTTCCGATCAATCACTTCACTCTTGCGGACGGCGTGAAGTTGACGGCCGGTTTTCGGACGATAAAATTTGGTAAAATTAACCATGGTAAGAGCCATAATATGCCGGCATGGAGGAGCTCATAACTCCGTGCCTCTGTCTATATTGGCCATGACGGACGCCTTCACGGTCCCTGTCGCGCTGCCTGGAGCGGCGGAGGCAGAGCTGCTCGACAGAGATCGATCACGGGACGGCGTCCAAAGTAGGAGTGGCGTACGCGCTCAGGATGCGCCTGTTAATACGGCACGTGCTCTAGATCCCGAGTATGATGGTCGCCATATAAAGCGCGGTTACGACTACGCAGATCGGGACGACTTGGAGCACAATCACGGCTACGGACGTCCTGGCTACGGAGATCGTGGTTATCCAGACAGCTCCTTGGATAACTACACGGAGGAGATGCAGCGAAAACAACAAAAGTTGGCGCTTGGTGCGAACGCGGCAGCCATCATTGCCTCGGACACAGTTGGGCTGGCCAGTTGCGGCATGAATGCGGGTCCGGTGGGGATGGGCATGGGAGTTCTCCAGGGTTTGCTCATTGGCGGTATAGAGGCGAGCAATGCCACGCGCAACCTAAACGCACAAAACCGCCGTCCGCGCTTCGTCTACGGCTCCGTTGCTGACGACGAGACCGGCTTCTCCGTCATGGTCGTCTTGACGCTCCTCGGTCTTGCTGGCACCGCCGTCGCGTGCGCCCGCTACGGCAGCCTCACCAACGACGGCAAGGCCATCCGCAGGGACACAGTATACCTCGACGCCTACGAAAACCCTGACGCCGACGACTACAACCACTATAAAACACTCATGAAGAACCGGTAGACCCACCGAACCGGCAGACCCACCGGACCTGCATCTCACTCATGAAGTCAGTCAGTCTGCGGCCTGGTCGTAGGCGTTGGAGTCAGTCAGTCAGTCTGCGGCCTGGTCGTAGGCGTTGGAGGAGTCCACTGGGAAATTGAGTCTTTCCGAGAACCAATCGCCTGGCCTGCCGGCATTGCGCAGCCTATTTTGGAAGTCAGCAAGCTTTTGCTGCGCCGCTTTTTCCTTCCGTCCGTGCAACTTGCCTTGATGCTGCCGGAGACGCTTGATCCGCTCCCGGGGGTCAGCATACAGGTCGTTGTCTTGTACGTTGGCGGCCTCGACCTCCAGCCGCTTACGACTCCCAAGCCCCTTTTTTATCACCAACTTTTCGACATCCTGCTTCCTATAACTCGCATCCTCCACCACGGAATCCGAGTCCTTAAACTCCCTCTCCAACTGCTGTGGAAAGCCACCGTCCGATCTCCCCTGTGGAAGGACCTTATTCGGAGACCTCTCGTGTGGAGAGGCCCCCTCCGGGGAGGTCCGGTCTGGGAACCCTTGCTGGTCTTGAGAGTGCTGACCTGGGATGTCGTTCTGCCCGCGCCGCTGTGGAGATTCAATAAGACCGACCGTTGCATCGCCACCGCTTGTTCGAAGCCGCTCTCGCAAGTCAGCAACCTCCCGACTCTTTTCCTCTATGAGCCGCAGCATTCTTTGCGTCTCTTCATCTACTTGTTCTTCATCTACTTGTTCTTCATCTACTTGTTCCTTCGTTTCTGTTGTCTGTAATTTGTTAACCAAATCATTTATGGAGGCAAGTTTCAAGCCCCTTCCACTGTGCTGCCCTCTTGTGTCTTGACGACCGTCCCCGTCGCGAGACAGGTGTTGTTCTGCGAGGTCGCCGTTGAGGAGATCGTCGTCGAGGAGATCGTCGTTGAGGAGATCGTCGTCGAGGAGATCGTCGTCGAGGAGGTCGTCGGGGTTGAAGGATAGGAATGAGGGTTTTGACTGAGCGAGTTGCTGAAACCTGGAGTTGATTTTTCGCTGAACCTCTTGCTGCGTGATTGGTTCCGTCTGAGCCTCCTGCTTTGGGTCATGCAACGGCTTGTCGGGTTCAGTTTTTCGGGCTTTGCAACCGAAAGGGTCCTGAATGACCTCGGTCTTGTTGATAACAGGCGGGTAGTAAGGTTTGTCGGTCTCGGGGTCGATCTCACAATCGGCGAGTGCACTCAGGTTCCACAGCGACTCTCCAACCACTTTGCCGAACAAGGTCATATCCTTATTCAGGCCGTCACAGCGATCGAGCGTAATAAAGAACTGTGACCCGTTGGTCTTGCTCACGCGAGCAGTCCCTTCTCTAGCTGCCGACAGCTCTTCGCGAACGTCTCTTGCAGCGGTTTCGTCCTTTGTCGCCATACCTACCAGACCTCGATACCGAAATAAGAGGCGGCCATGCGTCTCCACAGGGAAACCCTGCGGGCCGTATATGGACTCTCCTCCAAAGCCAGTGTTCGTCGGGTCGCCAGTCTGCAATATGAAGCCCTTGATAATCCGGTGCACCTGGCAGCCATTGTAATAACCATCCTTGCACAACTGAATAAAGTTACGACAAGCTTTCGGACACTCACGACACCACAACTCAATTTCCAAAGGCCCTTTCGATGTATAGACCAACACCTTTCCTGTTGTACTCGGCTCATTACGAAACGACGCCATTACTCAACCCGATTCCCGTAACCCTCTCTCTCTCACCCGTCTCTTCCAAGTCGAGAGATATTAGCACTGTATAATTCCACTCAGCCTGCCGGGACATTCACGGTGCGGCTCTGTTAATAAACAACGACCCACAACACTTGTAACACACTTCGGATAGTCCCTGCCTGCTCTCCGGATAGTTCGGGAGTGGGGGGGGGGGGTGGGGGTTGGTCCAGAGAGATTTATTCAAGGTAAAAGCGGGCGGCAAAAGTGACGAGGCCACTTGCGTAAGCCGTCATCCATGAGCCAGTCCAAAAGATACATACAAACCACTTTGTTTGGAGGCAAGATTGACTCTACGCCGAAACGAGCTAAAATATTGGATCCGAAGGTTGAAAGTCATAAAAGGAACGGTTCAGATCCATCTGACTGGCTCCAAGGTATGCATTTTCAAGTGCCCGACTAATCAGTGTATATTGCTAGATTTGGAAAATGCCGCGCGTAAAAATGGTGGTAATGCGACCCCGTCAGGAATTGAACCAGCGTGTCAAGATGAGGAGAAAAGTAGTGTGGCAGAAAAGCATGTAGAACAGCTCCTGATGGCAGATGACTTGGTGGGAGATGACTTGGTAGGAGATGGTGCTCATCAATTTGGCCATGTCAGTATATTGGATGAGCATTTTAATCCAGCTCTGGAGACATGCGATGACTGGCAAGCGTTTACTGGGAGCGATAACAAGAAACACTATATTGATGACCAGTACTTGTAAGCAAGGACCGGGGGTGGTGGGTGGTTGTAAGCAAGGACCGGGGGTGGTTGTAAGCAAGGAGCGGGGCTGGGGGAACAGTACTTGTAAGCAAGGACCGGGGGAGGGGGGGGGGGAGGTTTAGAAGGTTTGGCATGTGTTTAGATTTTCGAGACTGGCAGATGCTTGGTACGCAATCGAGTCGTTGAAGAATAGCGGTTCTGGTTCAAAGAAAAAGTCGTGGATGATATTGGGAAATTGTTTCCGATCGATCTTATATCATTGTCCCAGTCAGTTGTTGTATGCATTGTATTTGTCGATGCAAAAGTTGGGACCTACATATTTTGGTATAGAGACAGGTATAGGAGAGAATACACTTCTGAAGATAACTTGTGAGTTGTATTCTCGTAGTATCAATCAAGTTAAGGAGTTGTTGAAGAAATCGGGAGATCTGGGTACGATAGCTTACGAGTCAAAAATTGGGATGACGACATTGTATAAGCCGCCTAGACTTACATTGGAGTATGTATTTAAACAAATGTTGGAGATTGCGAATCATCAAGGCCAGAATTCGCAACTGCGGCGTCGAGAGGGTTTAAAACGATTACTGGTACCGGCTATAGATCAGGAGCCCAAGTATATAATAAGGTTCTTCCAAAAACAACTTCGAATAGGTGTAAAAACACCGACAATTATACAGGCATTGACGCATGCATTTTTATTATCAAAGCCGTTACATCAAAACCGGCAAGGAAGCTTTGTAGAAAATGAGGACTTTAATACTGCTGTACAAGACCTTACCCATACCGGGGTTACTCCGTTGGTGCTCAGTTACATATCCAGTCATCTGAAGTTTAAGTGTTACAGCACCAAACACAGGTCCTTATTTGACCACCAAGAATGCGACGATACCAAGGATGCCACTGGGAACAATAAGGTACGTGATGGAGATAAGATACTTGATGGCGAGGACCGTAAGACCGAGGACTGTAAGACCGAGGACTGTAGGACCGAGGACTGTAAGACCGAGGACTGTAAGACCGAGGACCGTAAGACCGAGGACTGTAAGACCGAGGACTGTAAGACCGAGGACTGTAAGACCGAGGACTGTAAGACCGAGGAGCCGGAAAATCGTTTTCCCGTTGAAGGTAAAACAGAGCAAGAAAAGTGGGAAATATGTATCCGTGAATGTTATAGTAGACTGCCTAACTTGGGCGTGGTTGTATTTTACTTGATGCACGGGCTTACCCGAGAACAATTACATGAACGATGTCAGTTATCTCCAGGCATACCTGTAGCACCTATGCTGGCGAAGCCCACTAAAAGTTATACCACAGTACTTAATAATATGGAGGGGTTGGAATTTCGAGCTGAATTCAAATATGATGGAGAAAGACTACAGATTCACAAGGACGATCACAATAATGTATCACTATTCTCTAGGAACATGGAGAGGCTAGATCAAAAGTATCCTGATGTTCGGGATCGAGTTATAAATAATTTGAAATGTAATGATTGTATACTTGATTCTGAAGTTGTTGCTATCAATCCAGCTACTGGTAAGATTGAACCATTCCAAGTATTAAGTACAAGAAAACGGAAGGATGTGGATGCGGAATCAATTGATGTTCAAGTATGTTTGTTCGTTTTCGATTGTCTTAGATGTAATGGGAAATCGTTAGTAGATCTTGAGTTGTATAAACGATTGGAACAATTGGAGAAATGTTTCAACCCCGTATCCAATGAAATGGAGTTTGCAAGGGGTCAGAATTGTTCGGACCAGTCCGAACTGGAGGTGCTAATGGATGAAGCGATACAAAAACAAACCGAGGGGTTGATGATCAAAGTACTTAAGGGGTCCAAAGCAAGATATGAACCGAGTAAAAGAACTGTAAATTGGTTAAAGCTCAAAAAAGACTATCTGGACTCATTAGGGGACTCATTGGATCTTGTTGTTATCGGCGCATTTTACGGCAAAGGAAAAAGATCCGGCGCTTATGGCTCATTCCTCATGGCAATATATGATAACGAGGAATATTATTCCATAACCAAGGTGGCTACTGGATTTTCTGAACAAGACTTGCAAAATATTTATCAGGACTTACAAACACACGTGTGCGATCAAAAACCGTATTATTACAACACAAGAATTCAACCTGATGTTTGGTTCAGTCCGCAGCAGGTATGGGAAATTAGAGCCGCTGACCTGTCCCTGTCCCCGGTGCATACTGCTGCTATCAACAAGATGAATACCGATAATAAAGGTATTGCTTTACGCTTCCCGAGATTCATTAGAGTCAGGGAAGACAAACAAACTGAACAGGCCACCAAGCCTTCGCAGGTAGTTGAGATGTACTACGCACAATTTAACAATAATCAAGAAATCCTTGAGGATGATACGGAGGATTTTCTCATATAACTTGGAAGACTTTTTGCCGTGTGAAAGGTTCAGACTTTTTCGGAGGGCTCACTGGGGGGCTAGTTAGTATGTCGTCGAGGCATTAGTTGTCGTCGAGGCATTAGTTGGCGTTAATTGCAAGCGTTCGCAGTGATTTGTTGGTGAAGTCGCCAACAAGTGCCGGGCAGTTTTGGCGGAAAAATTTCGCGGCGTCGGGTGTGATGACACGCGCGGTAAGAAGCTCGGTTAAAGAAGGCTGGAAGGCATATCTGGGTGTGATAACCTTTAAGACATCGAAGGATTGCATTAGCTTATTGGCTGCGGAGAAGGATGCCATGAACTTGTTGGATGCAGCGTACTCCGAAGAGCATTACTTAGTGGACGTAAGCGAGTCTGGCATGATTCGTATTGATAAAGAGTCAATACCGGCATGTATGGAGTGGCCTCATTTGCCTCGGAGGTTGCATAAAGCAATTCAGCTCTTGGAAGAAGGGCTACCCGCGTCATTTCGACGTAGCATTATAACGCCGGGAGTGGGGGCTCCTATTTCGCAGATGAAGAATTCAATAGGTGAACCTCTGGTGGCCCTTGTACAAGAAGTGAGAGAGGGCCTGCGTAAGCAGCAGTTGACAATGACCTTTGCGGGGAGAGAGATAGCGGGAGAGACGGCGACCAAGATCGTGGCAGCGGCCGTGGCAGCTGTGGAGCCCGAGCCCTCCAGCGTCTTTGTTGAGTACGCGCAAGCCCTGCTGAAAAGTGGCAGCAATCTGTGGCAAGACGCCCAGGACCGGGCCAGAGAATTGAGACGCACCATCAGTGAGTTTAGACGCTCCTCCAGTACGCGCAGTACCCGCTCTAGCATTCGGAATAGTTTGCGACGTGCAACTGTCGATGGCCTGGAGGGTACTGAATTGATCGACTTCGGCTCACACGATTGGACTAGCTCACTCGCTCGAGACTCCGTTGCTGGGAGTATCCCCGACGTTTCAATTATCAGCGCAGGCGGGGACTGTGTGAGACAGCAGGCTGCAGCACAACCGACCCCAAGAACCTGGGGCGCCATCGACTTCAGGGAAACTTTTTGATCGCTCGCTGCTTATGCAATAATTACTACACGATCGTGGGGTGGGTTTTTTCATTCGATTTTTTGTATGACAGGAACGAAGGAGGGCAAGAAGGACAAAGGAACGGAGGAGGGGACGATGGATGAGGAAACCACGGACCTCGTTCAGTACCTGATCATCCGGAAGGATCTTGGTTGGCCTCTGGGCGCTATGATTGCTCAGGGCGCCCATGCAGCCGTGGCGGCAACAGAGATGTTTCGAGATGACTTGGCAACACGTGTGTACCTTGAGTCTCTCGAGACGATGCATAAAATAGTATTGGGCATCGACGGAGAACGTCAACTCACAGACCTGGGCGAAGTTCTTGCGGCGAAAGACGTCAAACACTATTGCTGGAGGGAGCAGCCCGAGAATATACCCACTGTCATTGCCCTCAAACCTTACAACCGTAAAAAGGTTAATTCCCTATTCAGAAAATTGAAGTTGCTCAGCTAGATCACTGAAATTGCTAACTCACTGTCTCAACCTTGTGGCCTTAGTCCTTGTGGCCTTAGCCCTTGTGGCCTTAACCCTTGTGGCCTTAACCCTTGTGGCCTTAGCCCTTGTGGCCTTACACGTAAGGAATCATGAGTGTGTGGGTGGTGAATGGGTCGAACACAAGTGTTCCGTGGAAAGGAGTAAATTGTCTGGTTATGGACTTAAGGATTTCCGTGGTCACAAGCCCCCCCAGGATGCCACTTTGGGTGGGCTGTAACACAGGGTCCATCTTGGTAACGTCCAAAGTCGCTCGTTCCACCGCCCAGTCCACTACACAGTGGTCGATTTTTGCTTCTTCACAAACTTCCAAACAAGCGTGTCGTAGTGCCGCTTCGTACTCAACCAAACCCAATGTAAACCCGCGCTCTCGTTCGCTGGTCTGTCCTGGCGTACTTCGTTGCCGACAATCTGTTCTGGCCTGGTCTGATCCTAGTACAATTTGTTGCAAGACTCCTTGTCGGGGTACAATGAGCTGTGGGTCATTCATCATCGCCAAGCCGAGAATGACCGCTCCCTTGAGCGAGGGTGGGGGCACAGTGGTGAGTACGTGACTCAATTCGTGATTCGGGTGGTCGTTAATGATGACCGCATCGGACGTGTCCCCTCTGAAGTCAATATCTTTCATAACAGCGTGCAAACTGGAAGCCAAGTCGCTCAAGGGCGGTCGGTCGGTGGAAGACGTTCGGTCGTTGGAAGACATTGGGTCGGTGGAAGACGTTCGGTCGGTGGAAGACGTTGGGTCGGTGGAAGACGTTCGGTTGGTGGAAGACGTTGGGTCGGTGGAGTTAAGCGACAGTCGGACGGTGCCCAGGCCACCATAGCCTTGGTCCCGCAAGTACTTCCAGGATTTTTTCACAAAGGGAATTGCAGAAGCCGGAGTCAGAGACTCTAATCGCTCGAAATCTCTCTTGACTAAGGCTGCAATAGTCTCGTTAAGTTCCACGTAGATGTCGCGATCGCAGTCATGGTTCTCTGGCAGCAATCCACCATATGGCAGCCGCCCGATCTCGGTAAATATGTGCAAGACAGAAAGTAATTGAGAATCAAGACCACCCAACTCCTCATTCCACAACTTCCTATTCTTCTTCGTCTGGAGCATCCCGCACAGCTGTTCGGCGGCAACCTCCTGGGTAAGCCAGAACTTGTTTATCTTGGCTGCCTTACGACATCTCGGGTCGACCGAGTGGCTCAAGCGTTCCAGCTCTGCATTCGCAAACTTGTTAATGGATTCTTGTTCTCCTTCGGTAGAATTCACAGTTAGATTGTATTTGCGAGCGATATGTAAAAGAATAAGTAGCCAAGGCGCTCGTACAGGGCCTTCTGAGACGACATCAACGGGAGCCCCATCGGGAGCCCCATCTCGACACACTTCGTCTGCCGAGACTCTGTTCGGAATTCCGGACGTTGTCATGAATTTATCGAGTAAGGCGATAATTTCAGGCTCAGCCGCCATATGTCTCATTGAAAACGGTGGCCTGTTACTGTGGGTATGAAGTATAAGCTTCGGCCGTACCTGGTCAAACTTTACTGCCGAGACAACGGGGGAAGTACGGACAGTAACGATTAGAGCCAGTCTCCGCCGGACCGGGTCCGTAAGAAATAAATCGGGTAACGGAGCACCACTCGAAACGAGTACTATCTGCACACCTATATTCGTAGACGCCTCTTGTACCACCCACTCGGGCAACACATGGCCAGCGGTCACCTTCACGTTGGGGTTCAAGCGCCGAAAATATTCTAGCGCATTTCCTAGACCCATACGTTCCGCGAAACTTGAGTGCTGACGACCTCCATTCTGATCGGGACCGTTTTGATTTGTTCTGTTTTGATTAACACCGTGAGACTTGGTCGTCGTCGTCGGCAAGCAGGTCGCGGAACAGCTCTCTACATATGAACCACAACCGCAGTGGTCATCCGGATAATAAACAACCAGACCCTTAATGCCTATCAGAATAGGATCGAAAGTCTCGTGCCAGTGTGCCTCCTACCTGTAGCGCATAAACTCATAGCTATCTCTTCGTTAACTCCATCAATCCCATCAAGTATCACGATACATTCCTCGATCAATATTTGGCCCGCCTCACCCCATAACCGCAACTGACGGTCAAATCGTTCCGAAGCCATAATTTTAATAACGACCTATATACAAGCCATACTGACCAAACCACCATGACGGCCAAGCCACGGCGGCCAAGCCACGGCGGCCAAGCCATGGCGGCCGAACTCAGACATCCCACAAGTCTCAACACGCCTAAAATTAAAAACTACGGCCCCAGTGGCACCATTCGAATTTGAGAGTTTTTAAAAAGAAATTTTCACCATGGTCGTAGAAGTTTCTGGCCGAGATAACGAGTCACAGACCATCACTTTGGAGAGTGAGGATGGTAGACTATTCCAAATCTCGGTGGAGGCGGCAAAGGGAAGCCAGCATCTGAAGCATTTCATGGAAGGTAAATACTGTCGTTGTTCGTTAACACGTTCTATTTTCACATGGCTTCCTTATTAGTATTTTATTCGATTTCGGGTTCATTAGTACCACCCCTCCCCTCT